GCTGAACTGAAGCTGATGTGTTGCTCAGGTCTGCCGGTGGACCTGCAGTATCTCCCCGAGGACAAGAAGCGAGAGGAGGACCCAGACATCAGGAAGATGCTGCTGGAAACGCTGCTGCTGGTACCCAGACACACCTACTCTCCCACAGATGTGTTTTCTTTAAGGCTGCTTCCTTCCTCACCTTTGGTTCCACACACAGCTGACTGCGACCAAAGCTGGCCGGCAGACGCTCAAACAGAAGAACGTTTATCCCATCCTGAGGGAGTTCCACCGCTGGGAGAAGGACGTTTACGTGGCGGCCGCCTGCGAGAAGCTCATCCAGGTGAGAAACACCAGGAGTCCACGCAGGTGGAATGTAAGGAACCGCGTTTCGCCGTGCAGCGTAACTTTACCGCTCCGTGCTTCCAGGTGTTGATCGGTGACGAGCCGGAGCAGGGCATGGAGAACCTGATGGAGGTGGAGATCCCGCAGGACGTGGAGGAGAAGCTGAAGGAGGCCGACGCCAAGGAGCAGGAGGAGCTGGAGAGAGAGGAGAGAATGAGACGAGAAGAGGAGGAGAAGAAAAAACGTGACGCTGAAGGAACAGATCAAGAAAAATAGAGTGGACTCTAAGAATGATCCAGGCTCTATCATTCATTCATTTATTTATTAATACACATATACAGCTCAATGACTTATAGCAGAGGTCTTCAACAGGGGTCCACCACCCCTAGGGGTTCCACAGAGGTACTGCATGGGGGTAGCAAAACGTTTTTTGGGTGATTAGACTATTTTTTTTATATTCCTCCCTGCAATTTTTCCACAAATTTTTTCTACTAATTGAAATGGCCTCCTCTCTGCGCAGACGACCTGGTTCCTGAGCATAAATCAGCCTTAACATCGATGGGAAATTAACCACTAAGGAGGTAGTGTTGACAGTTACTGCTACCTGCTCTCAAAAACAGGTAAATCTGAAGGTCGTCTACGTAACATTGAAAAAAGAAGTGGTGCAGATTTATAATCCAGTCAAGAGATAGAATATGAAAAGAAAAAAGGATGGGACCATGAATGGAGCCCTGTGGAACCCCACATGACTAAGGAGGACTAGAGGAGGAATTAATCAGGACGGTTAAATGTCCGTCTGTCAAATAGCTACAGATTCCAACATACGGGTTTAAATGAGACGGATCAGCTGTCCTCCAGGCTTCCTGAAGCTCTCTCTGCTTTCCAGCTTCCAACTATTTCCTTCTAAACATTTCCCAAAAAGTCCTAAACTGAAGAAAGCACAGAATCCGACTGCTGGGAAGCAGAACGGGAAAAAAGGAAGACCTGATGAGGAGTTTTAATCCCTCCTCTCACCAGACGCCGACCAGGAGGAAGGCGTCCTGAAGGGTGCCGACCAGGAACCATCAGGAACATCTGCCGTCGTGATCAGTTCACATTTCTTTGTGCTTTTTAAAATGAAGCCTTTTTCTTGTTGAAATGTGGATGTTTATACATTTATATTTAGTAGTTTGTTTTTTACACAGTTAGAGGTTGGGTTGCCACTATGCTAAAATGTATAACTATAAAATCCCAAGGAAATAATCGAGGCTCTATGTTATGTTTAACAACCGTGAGGATGAAAAAACAAAAATAAAATGATTGAGAAATTTTATAAACCTGAGAAACTCCCATTTTTAATCCCAACATGAAAATTCCCAAAAAGTTTCGCTTCCCATCCAGGAAGCTTTTTCTAT